TATTAACGAACAGCGTGTATTCGTGAGAATGCGAAAAGGAGGGAGCCTACCCCTACGTTTTTAGGCCCGAACGGCGGGGAAAAAGCGAACGCTAATTCCCCCGCCTTGCTTACGTGAACGCGCCGGTCTCGTGACCGGAAGTCGGGTACCTCGACCGGAGAGAAACGGAGTGGAAGGGGCCTCGGACGGACGGAGGATTTGCACAGGGCGTCTGGCTGCTGGAAACAGGTACAGTTCTGGCGGGAAGCTGGACCGGAAGTGCTGGACAATCAGCTGAGCGGCAGCGGTGAGTAGGGGCTGGGAGCTTAAGTAGGGGACTTACTCCTCCCACAAATTCAGGCCTAATGGCCTTTCTACATATAAAACATAAACATTTTCTGGTAGATAAAATGAGAAAAATTATAGTGTCTAATGATCTGACCTAATTATCGGCTGCTAAGTGTTAGCACTGTTCTTAACACAGTTTTGCACCATTTTGCAATATTTGCCTTTGCATGCATATCCTTCCATACAAATTTGTGAGGGAATGTCTAGGCAGTATCCTTTTCAACCACAGTTTAACACTGATATGAATATTTTTTTTAATACTCTTCTTTTTCTTATATTAATGCATAGTTCCGTTCGTTGTTCCTTTAAACTTTAATTGAAAGTTCGATTTGAATTAGTACATTTTCTTGTAAAAGATAGGACTTCTCATCTTCATGGGAATCTAACTATTATGCAGGCACTTACTAAACTACTCATGTCATCATTTTCAATGTAAATTACAATTTAGCTACTACATGTCATATTCCGAGCACAGTTTTTAATCTCTGAGTATTTGACATGTTTTACTCGTTTTTCCCTTCACTTCTTATATGAAGGATTAGCCAACTGAGCATTGCAAAAATAAAAAATGAAATGTTATACATGTGATTTCTCTCTCTCTCTTTATTTTAATTTTTTTTTTCCAAAAGTTGAATGTAGTACAGCCATGGATGACTTTGTAAATAAGTAGATGTCAAGTTGTCTGTTTTAGTTAGAAAAAACATCCAAAATAAATAAACCTATACACATGTCATAATGAGCAAAAAGCACACAAAAGCTCATTCTTGTTAAAAAGAAATGTAACTATATTGTTGCATCTTTGAATTTATTCAATGTAACAGCTATTCTAAGCACTAAAACCCTTGCATCCTTCTTTTGGTGATTATAGTGCCGACATTCCTTTGGTGCCATCCCCCAGGTGCATTAGATAATTTTTGAGCAGCAGTGGCCTTGTATATATTTGGATAAAATTGACATTGCCAATGCAGAAATGTACCTACTGTATATGCCAAGTGTTGAATGAGTGTCGTGAGCGGTTCCAGCGCTAGCCCATACAGTAGAAACATAGAAACATAGAAACATAGAATGTGACGACAGATAAAACCCATTCGGCCCATCTAGTCTGCCCAATTTTCAGGAGCACTTCCCTCTTTCTACTGCTAATACCTCTCCCTATACAACCAAGTATTCTGCTAGCATTTCCTGCTGCTCTATTACACTGTCTTTAAGTCATCAGAAATAATCACCCCTAAATCCCTTTCCTCATATGTTGAGGTTAGGACTCTATCAAATATTCTGTACTCTGCCCTTGGGTTTTTACGTCCAAGATGCATTATCTTGCACTTATCCACATTAAATGTCAGTTGCCACAATTCTGACCTTTTTTCTAGTTTACCTAAATCATTTGTCATTTGGCTTATCCCTCCTGGAACATCAACCTTGTTACATATCTTAGTGTCATCAGCAAAAACACATACCTTACCATCAAGACCTTCTGCAATATCACTAATAAAAATATTAAAAAGAATGGGTCCAAGTACAGATACCTGAGGTACCCCACTGGTGACAAGTCCAAGCTTCAAATATATTCCATTAACTACAACCCTCTGTTGCCTGTCCCTCAGCCACTGCCTTACCCATTCAACAATATTGGAATCCAAACTTAAAGATTGCAGTTTATTGATAAGCCTATCAATAGGGGGCAGCCCTGCCTGGAACGATTTGAGATGTGAAATTGGACAGAGGTGAATCCTCCTCCAGCCACCTTGGCTACTGGACTACTATATAAGACCTGGACTGCAAAGATAAATTCTTGTGGAAAACCATATTTTTGCAGCACCACGAGGAGGAAGGAGCAGTGCAGTCTATCAAATGCTTTCTCCGCATCTAGTGAGAGGAATACACTGTGCCCCTTCCACCGCAGTATCTGCATTAAGTCAAATACCTTGCATGTGCAGTCACTCCCCTGTCACTCCCCTGTCTTTGGGAGTATGGTGGACAGCCCGTTTGTGTATCGTTTTGCAAATATTTTTACGTCTGTGTTTAAGAGGGAGATTGGGCGTAGATTTTGCCCTTTATTTTTGATTTTCCTGGGTTTGGGGAGAGTAGTGATATGTGCCATGAGCATGTCAGCAGGTGTATTTCCCTGTGAGAGCATTGTTGTATAGGTTTTTAATAGTCGTGGGGCCAACGTGTGTGAGTACGTTTTATAGTAGATATTTGGGAAGCCATCCGGTCCCGGTGATTTCCCTGGAGGGAGTGCTAGTATCATTTGAACAATTTCCTATTCCATTATGGGAGTTTGGACAGTGTCTATCTGGGTCTGAGTGAGGGTCGGCAGTGTGATTTTTGCTAGAAAGGTATTTTTGTCTATGTTCGTGGGTTGATAGGTATGGGCATCCTCTTTCATATAGAATTTTGCTAATTCGTCAGCTATGTCTTGTGGGTTATAATGTTTTTTCCATTCAGTGTTCAAGATATAGGGGATTTTCGTGTGCCCTTGCTTGAGCTGCAGTTTTGCAGCTAGGAGTTTGCCCGTTTTATTATTCTGGTGGTACCCTTGTATTTTTAATTTTAATGCCTCATATATGTTGTTTTTGTCATGGCCATGTCATTTAGTTGGTTAGTAAAGGTTGGTGATAGAGGTCAGTAGGGCATCATTAGGTTGGATGTAATATTGCCCTGAGGTCACGTAGTAACATCACATGTTCTCTGTGTGCTTGTTTTTTGAGGTAGGAGGCTCAGCTCAGAAAGAGGCCACGCATGACTGACCTGTGGGCTTGCCATACCATCAGGGGAGATGTCCTCCTATGGTCGTTATTAGAGAAATAGTCAGTGAGCACGGTGTGCATTTCTGTTTGGAAAGTGTCATCTCTCATTAAAGATTTATTTAGTCTCCATGGGGCAAAGCCTCTAGTTGCAAATTGTGTATATATGGTCATGAGATTTGGTGCACGGTCAGACCAAAGGATTTCACCTATCTCACTATGTATCACTTTCTTCAGGAGGGGACCTGTGGTCAGGATATGATCTATCCTCGAGTGTGTTCTATGTGCTTGGGAGTAATGGGTATACGAGCAGTTAGATGGGTGTAGTGCCCTCCAGGTATCGTAAAAGCTAAACTCAAGTAGTAGCTTGGTCAAGGCCTGGAAGTGTTGTTTAAGGTGTTGGTGTCTAGATGCAGAGGGTTGTAAGGACGTGTCTAGCGTGTGATCCAGCATGTGGTTTAAGTCTCCACATAGCAATGTGAATTCTGTTCTGATGGGGTCCACTTTAGATAAAATTTTGTGTGAGAAATTCCTTTGTTGGGAGTTGGGACTGTATATGTTTACAATAGTGTAAGTGATATCATTGATTGTGCACAGTAGTATGAGATATCTTCCCTGACTGTCAGTTACGAGTTTGAATAGCTCGAAGGATAATGTTTGTGGATGAGTATGGATACGCCTCTGGCTTTAAAAGTGTGTGCCGCATGGAATTGAGTAGGGTATTCATTGATGCCAAAGGAGGGGATGCGGAGTTTAACAAAATGTGTTTCTTGCAAGCAGACAATGTCTGCGGAGACTCGTTTAAGGTCTTCTAGTAATTTGCAACGCTTGTGAGGGGTGTTGTAAGAGTATATGTTCATGTTTGAGCGTATCAATGCAGGAGAGTGGTGTGTCAAAGTCATGGTTTTGTTGCATACTGATTTGGCTGCCAGAGGGAGACCATCCCTATGGTTGTATGGGGCCTACTGCGAGATTTTTGCTGGTGGGGTTGTTTTCCTGAGCTCTCTGTGGGTAGGGGGGTTAACCAAGAGGACTGGTGTTGGAGCGATAGGTTGCCTAGCAACCAGGGGAGGGTGAGAAATAATATTTACAGTGTTCCCCGCCATGGGGAAACGGTGCACCATAAGGGGTGCACCATGGGGGTGTCCGTATCTGATATACGGTGTACATGGCTACCTGGGCTGTGAGGTAGGGTGTAGTCGTACTGGTGAGAACTAATTCTCGGTAAATATAACCATGAAATGCATGTAACATTTATAACATTATAACCATTTAATTTGCATAACATTTGGTCAATTGTCGATATAACAAGCAGTATAGGAACCATCCCCGTTTTGTGACTTGGTTTGAGCTGTGAGTGATTATTATCACTGAGAGTGTGCAACTGGGCTCCCATTTCAAGGTCATTATTGCTTAAGGAAGTGTGCATCAAACAGGAAGCAGTGGGGGCCACGGTTACAGCCATCCCACTCTTTGGGGGGTTGTCCTCATGACCCACCAGTCCCTCCGGTCAGTTGCTTATTGTGGCCTACACATTTTCCACGATACTCTCCGGTGTAGCCCTCTCCATTATATTGAATTGTGTGGGATTGGGGTATTTACCTCACTCACTAGGTGTTGCGTGAAATACACACCAGGTTCCTCGTGATGGCTGTATACAGTAAATGGTGAGCATAGCTAGGTAATGGTAAACAATGGAGGGTAAGGTCCCTTTGGGCCTATGCGTTGGATAACACCACAAGTTACGCTAGGGTTGCAATACTTGCGCAAATCGTCAACCTGGAAAGTTCACAACGGGTATGGAGTGTTCCTTGTTCTGCTGCTTCATCTAGGCGGCTGCCCATTCCTGGGTTAGTTTGGTAGGTGAGGCTGTCAGGGTCTTCGTGGGTGATAATTTTAGGCCCCAGGCTTGTAAAGATTTCATGCCTTCTTCTGGCGTGTGCAGGAAGGTGAGTGTCCCATCTTTTATGACGAGCAGCTTGGTAGGATAACCCCAGTAGTATCTGATGTTATTATTGCGATGGGTAGCTGTCACTTGATGTAAGGCTTTACGTCTTCGTAACATTGTTGCGGACAGGTCTGCAAGGCGTTTTACCCCTGCATAGTCAGTTGGCAGGGTTGCTGTGCGGCTGCTTTTTAGGATGATTTATTTTACATGGTAGTAGTGGGCACACAGCAGGACATCTCTTGGTACGGATTCCGCCAAGTGTTTGGGTCGCGGGACCCTGTGGACCCGGTCCAGTAGCAGCATATTGGCAGGCATGTCAGGAGTGACCGCATTCAGGAGGCTGCGGACATATCGAGGTAAGTTGTCCAGTGGGACTGTTTCCGGAATGCCTCTTAAGCGGAGGTTGTTTCGTCTGGATCTGTCCTCTGCATCCATCATTTTCGTCTCCAGAGCATCTATGTGCTGTTGTAATTGTTGCACATGGTCTGCGAGATCGTTATGGGCTGTTGCATATTCAGCCATTTTGGTTTCCGTGTGGGCTGTTCTTGTTCCAAGGTCCAGGAGATATTTGCGCAGCATGTCCACACTGGCTGTCCAGGATTGGATCAGTTTGATGGATAAGGCATGCAGGGCTTTGTGTAGGTATTGCCCAGTGATTTTGTCACCCTGTTTGATGTCTCCTGGCTCAAAAGACAGGCTGCTGTCGTCCAATGAGCCTCCGCCATCTTGGGATGCGGCCTGCATAGCTTGCCCGGCTAGGCCAGGCTTTTGGTTAAAGAATTTCAGCATTCCACAGGCCACAATCAACAACCCGATCAACTCTATGCGAAGGAGATGTGTTGCATTGCGTAAGGCAAATGGAGGTCACACCAGATACTGACTAGTTTTCGGATCCCCACGGACCCTCCCAATACAGTAAAACTGCACATTTTAGAGTGGCCTTTTATTGTGGCCAGCCTAAGGCACACCTGTGCAATAATCATACTGTCTAGTCAGCATCTTGATAGGCCACACCTGTGAAGTGGATGGATTATCTTGACAAAGGAGAAGTGCTCACTAACACAGATTTAGACAGATTTGTGAACAATATTTGAGAGAAATAGGCCTTTTGTGTATATAGAAAAAGTCTTAGATCTTTGAGTTCAGCTCATGAAAAATGGGAGCAAAAACAAAAGTGTTCGGTTTATAATTTTGTTCAGTGTAGATAGATAACAAAAAAAGAGCAATAGCAAATTAAAAGGGAAACTAAATCCTGCATATGTTTTCAGTTGAACAGGTTAATAAAATGCACATAAATGAGCTGAGTGTATCACTGGCTAGACTACGAATGTATCACAGAGCTCCTCTGAGTGAAATGTGAATGCAAGTTTGGCTGCATGTGATGTATGTATTTATTGCAGTAGCATATTTGACAGTCCTTTACAAGTATATGAAGCTTACAATCTATGAGGATTTGTGTTCTGCACATATATAGCATTAGGTGTCTTTTCCAAAGACACTTACTGGTAAGGTGGTCTGACTGGGATTCAAACCATAATTTCCCAGTTCCTAGTTACGACTGTTCTAAACAGCCAATATATGCATGCAGAATATGATGTGTGGTTGAATGAGTATTATGTGTGGGATTTGTTGAGTGTTATTTATGTGCACGGGTTTGGCTAAATAGGATGTGTGTAAAGAGGCTCTGTTGTAACATTAGTCTGCCTACATGTTGTATTATCTAATTTGGTTAATAAAATGTAATGCTTACATGCAGGGAGGGTGTATAATCTCTAGAGGTCTGGAGGACATTTAATCTCTGGTGGTCCTGTAGGTGCTGTGACTAAATCCCTGGTGGTCCAGTGGGGAAGCGCATGGTCATCACCTCCATAGTAAAGTTCCTTTTGTGTGGCACTTATTGAATAAGTCAGAGTGTTGACTTGATAACCAGATGACTATGCTCGGACTTCACTGAGTGAGTTCACTGAGTGCTTGGATAATGAGATAGCACTTCAACGGAAGTATAGTCCACAATCTTCTTACAGGCAGCATCATGATGGCTTCAGTGGCCTTTTGGGAAATCTGACTCTATAGATCATGTCCTCACTGACCATCTCTATGCTAGGCTATTAGCCTCTAGATTAGTGGTCCCCAACCCAGGGCTCATGGACCACCAACAGTCTAGGATTTATGTATTTCCCTTTTTTATTAAAATGACGATACTAACAAAATCTGGACTATTGGTGGTCTATGAGGACTGGGTTGGGGACCACTGCTCTAGATAATATATAAGCTATTCAAAAATGCAAGTGACGATTATAGTAGTCTCAAAATGGTCTATGATTATCTAGCTATCTAAAACTTAAAAACAGAAGATAAACGTTTTTCAGATTGTTCAATGCTATTGATGAAGGAAAAAAATTATTTTATTTTCCAATGTAAACATACAATTTATTGATAAAAGACTAATTGCTAGTAGATTCAGCTGCATATTCCAAATAATAATGCATGTGAAGTGCATAACATATTTTCTTGCCACGGGAGGTAGTTATGACAAATTAGAAGCCGAAATATTTTCGGATGGTGTAGAGACCCCATCTGTCACTTGGGACAAAGTGATCAGATTTCATATAACCAAAGACCCCATGGTGCATTTGAGAGTTCCATATGGTCATCCAAATGTTTCAGCTAAATCCACCCTAAATGTTTCATATAAAATTATACAAGCAGAAAACAAAATCCTTCCTGCAAAGGTATTGTAATATACATTTATTAAAACAAAAAGCCGGCAAATCTTTTTTTTTTTTTTTTTGTAGAACTGGTCTTTTGGTACTTTATGTTTCAACGTCTTGTTTTAGTTTAAAATAATACAATTTACATTAGTTATGTGTACATGAAAAAAAAAACAATAACAACATTAAATAATCAGAACAGAAGATCAAATACTTTTTTTTAGAATGGATGTATACAAAGATAGTAAGAGAACCCTAAAGTGTTGCTTTTAATATTTATCCATCTAGCTCTGCTAAATTATTTAAACAGCAACTTTGGACAAAAAACCTCTATTGGCATAAGTAATGCCTGCACTTTAAATGACCAATGCATAATTTATTAATTTATAAATGTGTTTCTTGAAGAAAATATTTGTCATATATTATTGTCATATTCACATCTGTCTTCTGAAAGCCTTGTCTTTATCACGTTTGCCTTGATCCATTGTGTTGTTATATTTTCTAGATAAAAAATATTGTATCTATATTTGCTTATTTAAATGTGTTTAATTACATTAATTAAGAATAAGCTACACTGAGAAGCACACGTTGCTTGTAAAATATATTTCACAAAATATGACTATCTGTATAGAAATATGGAAAACCACCCTATGTATCCATAGACAATGTATTGGTTTATGAATACTATGTTTATTTTCTAATTGTTTTCCTCTTGTTTAGACTTGATGTTCTATTCATTTAAATAATACTATATAGGCGCTCTTCATTTAATATATATCTGTTTTTTATTTAAAAAGAATACTTTCAAGAAAAAAGAAAAACTGAAAAACTGTTCAATAGTCATGCCTAGTCTTAATTTAAATAGAGTTTTTCAGAACATGCAGAGAAGATAAAATAGAAAAAAAAATAGTGTAAACTGTGTAAGTAAAATCAAGACTAAACTTACTCCTTGTCACTCATAAATAACATGTGCATTACACGAAGGTTAACAGTAGACACTTGTAAAACATTGAATAGATACTTCAGAATGTAATGAATTGCATTAAAATGACTTATTTTTACCACTCTGTGAATTAGGTTTCCATCCAAGGGAGAAAAGTGCATTTCAATTTACATGAATGGGATGTAAGCACTATTTGAGAAAATGGTATTACATCCATCAGTCAGTGTGATATGTATGTCCAGGATAAAGAGAACAAGTAGGAATTATTTATCTATTGTGAAAGTGTTTACTGTGTCCACAGGTGATTTGACATTCTCAGGATGAGTTTATAATAATTGATTTCTTTGAGGTTCCCCAGATTCTTATCTATGTCATATAATACACAACATAATTGACTTTTAATTGAGAGAATGAGGGAAGACAAAGGAAAAGGACATTATTATTTTAAATAAATTGAATATTCTCTCTAAATAGTTTTATTCACAATCAACATCTGCATAAACCATAAAAACACACACACAAAATGAAAATTAATATCACATGTATTTTAAAACTATCTATGCTCTCTGAGTTATTCAATAAAGAACTGCTAGGAATTCTAAGTGAAATCAATGTGAATTTCAAATTTAAGGCCAATATAGCTGAACTTTAAACATTCTATAAATCAGTTATGCTTTCAGTGCAACTACCTTAGCCTTACATTTGAAGTTCACTTTAAATTTTCTTTTCAGTGAATAACATTGTCTATCAGAATTACTTTTTTTAATGTTTAATGCATTCTAAATATACTTTTGATCTTATATTTTTTATTTATTCTGGGAATCCACTTGACCTTTCTGCTCCAGTAGCTTGTTTTTAATCATCTTATATTGTATAAATAATTTAATAAACTACAACTGAATATAAGACAATGAGTGATAACAGCAAAATACAAAGATAAGACAGTGATTGCGTTTCTTGATGATTCTTTAGGTCAGCTGAATGGCATGATGTACAGAATATATGAAATACGATTTTATCAATATCAAAAATAATAATAAATTATGTTGAAAATCATTTGTAAAAATCCATAGTTATTTGTGAATAGATTTCTGTTCTAATTGCATTTTATTTAAAACATAAGTATAATGCTGATCCGAAGCGCCGCGTACAGAAAATATTATTTTCTATATTGTTAGAAAATCACGATATAAATTAATTTTTTTAACATAAATTAATCACAATTTAATATGGAAGGTACATTGTTAAGGTTGAATTGTGTGTGGATACATTAGTCAATATCTTAATTTTTTATGTTTGTACTTCACCTTGTATAATACACAAAGGTTTAATTAACTGAGGATTAATAGAGGTAGTTTATAATTAAACTGAAGTATGAACTGATGTCATCATCTCAGTATGATGATATACTTTTCATGCCAAAGCACCTGTTGTTTTGGAAGAAAACAGCTGATATCATTATCTACTCAGTCTGATAGCCCCGTATCCTGCTGCTTAAAAAATTATCCCAAGGATTACCTGAGATGGGGAATCTACTTTTCATACATTAAAAAGTCTACAAATTCTGATATATGAAATAATCATTTGAGCTTCTGAAGCACATATACTATTTATAAACATGGTGATTGAGAGATATCAAAATACAAAAATAATAGCACTGTTTGGAAATTGTGGACTTATAGTCAGTCTGAAAGTATTGCTTTATATAAGGTATTTAGCATTTATTTCGTAAATAAGAAGAATCATTAATTTAAATGTTAATTTTCAAAATTAGGACTTTTTATATCTGTCACCAAAAGTACAAATGGACTCTAGAATGGTTTAAAGCCTTTGCATCACTTTATTGTGCTGTGAATTTACTACACATAATTTTGTACCTTTTTCTTTTCTTGCAAATCATTTTGTTCTTCTGGTAGATATCCAAAGCGAAATTAAGGAGCTGCAATGCCAACAAAGTGTCTGTAGCATCTAACAGTCAAATCATGAAATCTAGGACTCTTGAGCAGTGGGCATGAAGTTAAGGCCATTTTAAACAAACTTTAAAATAAGGGGAGCTTAAGGGGCAACCACTGACTCTTTGGAATAGTAAGTTGATCACATAGTTAAATTTACCACTATAGGTGGTTAGATGTGTGCTGAATAGTCCTGACTAATATTATGTATTTGGAATAGTACTTCTTTGAATAACTGGATAATTTGTTTTGTGTAATATACTTCTAACCCAGTGGACATGAGTATTTTCTCTATAAAAGTGAATAATTGAGTGGAGGTTATGAAGCATTTCAATTTCTTTCCATACAGATAATATCAGATAGCTCCCTTAATCTTGAGAATGGGGAACACCATTAGTATGGCAAATTTGACTCTATGAGTGCTCTCGTGAGGCAGTGAAGGGTCTGTTCGCATTCCATTATAGTACTGTCTCCATGTACAAAAAAAGCTTATGTATCAAGCAGGATCCACTACTGATCTCTATCCTAGTTTATGATCTCTTCAACAACACATAATAATAGCTATTCAGACCTCATTTCAGTTGTCTGTAAGACCCTATGTCATACATTTCATTTGCAGCTGGTGGAGGCTCATATATTGGTTAGAGTAGTGGTAACATCTAAGTTCAAATTCTGGTCAGACTTCACCAGTTAGGAAACATGATATATATATGTGCCTACCTCAAATCATCGTAGATTAGAAGCTTGTTTGTGTAACAGAATGATAGTCACTCACTATAGTCAAAATAAAATTACTCTGGCAGCAAAAAGTGGCATAAGGATTTCCAAACCTTAATCAATAAGCAGAATGCACAAAAACAGACAGAATATAACATGCCCAGTGATATAGTGTGAACATACATTGTACGCTGGATTTTTCCAATATTATTGACCTCAAGCAAAACAAAATAAACAAGATAATAGTGCAATACAGTATAGGATAAATATATGTATAATTTTAGTTCTTCTACAATACACACTAACATTCACTGGAACTAACATGGAGCTCTGCCGTTGTGCGCATGGATGGTATGATCCCCGTCTTAGGATATTTGATGCCACAGGGACAACAACGATTCTCCAGCGTAATATGCAGAGTATATGTGAAAATAGAGAGCGGATGAGTATCTAATGGTGAAGTAAGTACTATTTAAATCAAGTTCTAGTATAACCAGCATGGGTGGTATAATCCCCCCTGAGGATGTAGTGGTTTCAGGAAGCAAGATGGTAAAAGAATAATAAAAAATTAAAAGTGAAATAAAAGTAAACTTTTTATAAGCATGGTTATGCAAGGCCTTCTTCACCTGCAAATATAACCTTTTATAATAGTAAAGCGCTGTGTTAGCCTTATGCAGGGCTGTCATTAATGCTTGGTAAACGGGATAGCTGCCCTGGGCCCAGTTACTTCTGGGGGGGCCCAAAGCAGCTGCCCTGTTTGCCCTCTGTCCGCAACAATTTATTTTAGGATCACCGATCCTAAAATACATTGTCACGAGCAGCGTGCCTGCACATTAAGGGGGCTCATGGGGTGGTCCCCTGCATTTAGGGCCACCCGGTGAGCATTTATCAACAGTGGCCCGGTTAGGCGCTCTGGCCCTTTAACAGCGCGACCGGTCCCCTCACTTTTCAGCCGCATGACACGCTGTCACTTCTCCCAGCTAAAGCAAAGCCACGCAGGAGGAAGAACCGGGAAGAAGCAGTGCAGAGGAGACCAGGACGGAGGATGTGGACCCTAACTCCCAGCCACCACAGCCTGAACACTGGACCCCAGGGAAGCCACCCTCTAGCAAAAAGGTAAGAATAGGAAGGGTGGATATCAAAGTGTAGAATTTACATGTGTGTCTGAGTGTGTGTGTCAGTGTGCCTGACAGTGTCTGTGTGTGTGTGTGTGTGTGTGTGTGTTTGTGTGTGTGTGTGCATGTGTGTGTCAGTATGTCTGACAGTGTGTGTCAGTATGTCTGTCAGTGTATTTGTGTGTGTCAGTATGTCTGTCAGTGTAGTGTCATTATTTCCATCAGTGTGTGTCTGTCAGTATGTTTGTGTGTATGTCTGTCTGTGTGCATGTCTGTGTGTATGTCAGTGTGTGTATCAGTATATGTGTCTGTATGTATGTTAGTGTATGTGTCTGTGTGTCTGAGTGTGTGTCAGTATGTCAATCAGTATGTCTTTCAGTGTGTGTGTCTGGGTATTTGTGTGTCTCAGTGTGTGTGTCAGTGTGTGTGTCAGTGTGTCGGTCAGTATGTCTGTAAGTGTATGTGTGTGTGTTTGTCAGTATATGTGTCTGTGTGTCAGTATGTATGCTAGTATATGTGTCTATATATGTCATTATGTGTCTCTGTATCTGTATGTTGTCAGTGTGTGCATCAGTATATCTGTATGTTGTCAGTGTGTGTGTAGTTGTCAGTGTGTATGTCTGTGCATCTGTATATAGTCAGTGTGTGTATCTGTGTATCTGCATGTGTATCTACATGCGTGTCAGTGTTTGTATCTGTGTCTCTGTCTGTTTGTCAGGTTGTGTTTCTGTATGTGTGTCAGTGTATCTGTATGTTGTCATTGGGTGTATCTGTGTATCTATATGTAATCAGTGTGTATCTGCATGTGTGTCAGTGTGTGTATCGTGTGCCTGTGTATATGCATGAGTATCACGTGTGGATGTATCTGTTTCAGAGTGTGTGTCTGTAGATCTGCATGTGTATCAATGTGTGTGGGTGTATCACAGTGTGTGTGTGGCAGTATATGTGTATACATCTCAGCATTCAAACACCAACACTACACAAATACACCCCCGCATTCAAACTTCAACACTAGTTGAAGCACTAGTTGAAACACACTCCTGCATTGAAATGTTAACACACCACTGTGTTAAAATTAAATATAAAAACATCCCTGCATTCAAAAATGAACACTACACATAAATACATGCTTGCATTCAAACACCAACACCACATACAAACACATCCCTACATTCACACAAACATACTCCATTTTGGCCACCCTTGCAGGGATGGGGCCCAAAAAAAAGTCTTACACCAGGGCCCTCTCTACTTTAGTTCTGCCACTGCATTGCAGTGGAGGGTGTGATAGCATGCCAGGGAGTGGGGGTGCAAGGTCTAGGGGGCCCAAGCAAACGCTCACCCAGGGTCCAACCATTATTAAAGACGGCCCTGGCCTTATGTGAATGCTAATCAAAAATCAATAGAATCCTCCTTCAGCCTTGATTTATCTTGTCTTAACTAGAGAAATATTGAAGGTTAAATGACCAATGCATCGATTTCCCCCAATTCTTAGCCCATTATTTTCTCTTTGTTCTTTTTTTGTCCTTATCCATTCACTTTTCTTTCCAAACAATCCTCTGTATCTTCTTGTCAGTTATTTTGCTAATTCAAAATAAATAGATTCTAAGCCAAATATATGTATTTTCATGCAAAAACAGCCATTGGAAGTCTATTTATTTATTTCGAAATCCACATTCTCATTCTACATTCATAAAAAAATCCCACTTTGTACAAAGAACTACAAAAAACACTGACAAATTACTAGGTTCACTTTAGAAATACTTGAAAGGAAACACAAATTCATTGGACAGAAATGAAATCCATCCACTGAACAAATGTTTATTCTATGCATGGATAATCTTTTACATGTTTCTTAACGATATGAGTGACCACAGACTTACATTGTTTTTTATGCATTCATGGATATTTCTCCCGCTGTTTTTTTTCCACCACTGAAAATAACAGAGAATAGAAATTGTAATTAAAAGCTGCACCCACTGATCTCTTTATTAGCAAGGCTAGCTTTTCTCAAGCTGAAAGAAACATAGATTTACTAGACAAATTGACTTGCTATGATGCAACAATTCTTCATGTATATTTGTAAGCTTTCTAGATTTGTCTCATTATCACACTGATTAACTATGGCAAGCACTATCACAAATATTCATTCAATGTTTCTAAAAGTTATTTAGCTATTTTTGTCTGATTTTTCATTTTTACATCTTATTGTTCATACTCTTTTAATCGTGTGCATGTAAATCAGTCAGCCCAAGTAAAGAACTCATACTAATATGTATGTTTCCCAGAAAAGAAATATGTTTTCAGAATCCTTATTCTGAAATAATTCGCTGTAGTGTTTACATTACTTAGAATGGGAGTATAGGGCACCCTAGTGGGCCTAAGACGTAATTAAGGGGATCTTCTCTTGGGACTATAGTTTAGTCATGAAAATGTTGCTGTATGGTATGATCGGAGGGGCCTCCCCTTACCGTTTAAGAGGCTCATCTGTTTCCCATCACTCCCCTTTGGTTCATGCTGTCTCCTGAAGTTCTGGTCTGGTGGATTCCTCTTCAGCATGGAAATGTCTATGTAGGCTCCCCAAAGAAGTCGCTTGGTAGGCCCCCCAAAGAGGTTCAGAGACTACATTCCTCACTCTTCTCGATGTCCTGCAATGGAAGAACAAGAGATGAGTATTGAGGGGTTTTCTCCAACTCCTCTACCTGCAATAATTTACATTGTACCTGTATCCTCTCACATGTTTCTAAGGTTTCTTTCCTCTCTCTCCCCTTCCTTCTACTGCTTTTCAACTTCATTTACTTCCTCCTGCCCTTCCTTCCCTGTCCCTTGCTTCTTTACCACCCCCTCCTGTATTCCCTTCTTCTTTCCCCTCTTCTGCTGAGGCCTTGCAGCACTTAGCTGTTCAGTTTGCCTCCCTCCCATGCTCTTTCTGCCTTGGCTGCATTTACACAGGCAGACAAGGACACCTCTGCACCCGCCCTCCCGCCACTTTGGAGCTTGGTCTCGTGATTGAGGGGATTTACTGTACGTGGTTAGAGACTGATTGCTGTGAATGTAAGCCATTTGGATGCTGTGTGTGTTCGTCTGTTAGCAGCGATTCATGAGATTACCGTTCTCGAGTTTGGAGTACTACTGGGTATACTGTTCGGGAGTTTGGGGCATTCCCTTGTATCCAGTTCAGGAGTTTGGTGTTCTGCAGTAGCTGTGCCTGTGTCTCTGGAAGGGAAGATCTACTAAACGGTGGTTTAACCCTTTTATGCCTGGGGGTGCCGTTACAGTGGGGATCAGACGTTTCTGCCCTTTTCTTCTTTCTGAGATTTGCAGGTAAGCCAGATCCTTCTAAGTTTTTATGGTTTTGTCTGCCGGACACTCGGGAATCCCTTAACCTCTTCTTGTCTACTATTGCTCCTGCTTGCTTTACCTTTAGTTTGTTCTTCTACAGTTGAGGTCTATCTTTTTCGGGCAGCATTTGCCCTGGCCTTTCATGGTGCGCTTCGGGTGGGGGAACTGGTAGCTCTGTCATCCAGGGTGGTGGGCTGTGAAATCCAAGCTGCTCATGTCTCCATTTCCATTATGGCAGTTTTGCTTTTCATTCCCTATTCCAAGTCCAACCAGGAGGGGCCTTGCAGACGGTCGCTGTTGCGTTTTGAATTTACCAGGGTTTTGAGCTTAGCAGTGCATCAGGTGGGGTTGTTATCCTACCATATCACTTCCCATTCTTTCAGGATTGGCATGGCAACTTGTGCAGCTGCACTGGACCACCCCCCTGGACGTACTTCGTCACTTGGGGTTGTGGAGGTCGCAGAGGTACAAGTTATATGTTAGGCCCCTATCTGCTGCGTAGCTTGCTGTGTTACCTGTGTTGTTTCCTTTTAGGAGCTGCTCCCCCCACACGTGTTTGGCTAGTGGGTCACTCTTTCATCCACTGGGCTTCCTTGCATTCACTCTCCTCATCACTGGGCAAGACTCTGGGGTTGCCAGCCTCTCGAGTGTGTCTGCTGGTTAGGCTGGTGCGGCCTTTGCTGGCCTGTTCTCCCAGCGTTGCTTCAGGATGCTCGGGCTCGATGGGGGAGTCCTCACATCCTGGTGCTCCAGCTCGGTGGCAGCGATTTGGGGTCTGTTCCAATGCTAGATCTGGCACGGATTGTCTGCTTGGATCTTCGCTGGCTTTCTGCTTGGTTACCAGGCGTGAGGATCGGGTTGTCCAATGTGTTGCCCAGGCTTCAGTGGCTCAGGTTTTCTCCTCCAGGTGCTGCTTACAGGGCTCAGAAGAAACTTAACAGGCTTGTAGGTCCTGCTATTGCTGAGCTGCATGGGTTCATCATAGGACCTCCAGGCACTTCTGCCAACCGGGTTGAGCTTTTTAGGCCTGATGGAGTCCACCTCAGCACTGCTGGTATGGACTTTTTTTTGCTGACTTTCATGAGGTTCTGATGCCTCTGCCCTAACCCGGGCTGCAAAAAAAATAATATATATATATATATATATATAAGTTGTTTGGTTGGCAGCAAGACATTGGCAGCAAGTAGGCTGGGCTTCTCCCCCTCTTGGGCAGTGGCCCAGATGGGCCGCCCACTTGCAGTCTGCATTCAAGTTGGCCGTACCCGTGTTGTCCTTATGCCTCTTCTAGGGTGGATGCAATGGGTGCTCCGCTGCAGGATTAGGTTGAGCCGCATCCTCTTGTGGGCTGAGGAGTTTAGCCCTCGGCACCGCCACCCTAGCTAAATTTGGTTATTATTTATATTTTACGGCCGTTCTGTTTGAATGGTTTTTCTGCCATAATGCCATGGTGATGTATTCAATAAATGCGGCCAGCAATGGCTTCAACTCCCAACATGTTGTCTGTGTTATTTATTTCAAGGGGAATGTTGGGTTAGGAAGAGTGTTATAGCGTTTGTTATTTTGGCTAAAACGCTATATGTCCTGGTTTTGTCTCCTGGTTTAATGCCAACCTATTTAGGAGTATTCTGCTATATCTGGGGGTTTTCCCGGCACCTGGAGACCACCCATATTCTAGCTTCATTGATAATCTGGAAATAATCAATTTCAACCAATCTGGACAACATCGATTGGCTAAGAGTCCTAAGGTTGTTAGCCAAGCACTATCAGCCAGTCAATGTTGTTAAGATTGGATAAATTGACATTGATAATGTAGTAGTCCACTGAGACAATTCCTAAAGGTTTCATATTGCTACCAGTGAGCTTTAGTGGTTATACTTCTCATTTAAGTCTAGTAGAACAATTTAAAAGAGTGGTGCTATGATGAGGCTTTACCTGTATGAACATGGCATGATTTCTGCATTTCTCAAATAAGACTCACACATTCAAGGGACACTCTAATCACCATAACCAATACAGTGTGCTGCAGTGGTTATGGTGCTAGAAGCCCCCAGGTGTCATTCAGCAGTAATTAAACAGTTTGGCTTTTGGCTGTCCGCTAATGAGTAATGTGTAACCTTGCTGTGAGTTGGCATACTGATACAGAATTTCTGCTTTATCAGATCAACTTTAAGATTTTAAGTTCACACGCCATTTACCTTAGTACTTTGTATCAAAGGGCTAAATCTCAGTTCATTATTATTATTATTATTATTGCCATTTAAATAGCGCCAACAGATTCCGTAGTGCTTTACAATATTATGAAAGAGGGATTTAACTATAAATAGGACAATTACAAGAAAGCTTACAGGAACAATAGGTTGAAGAGGACCCTGCTCAATCGAGCTTACATTCTATAGGAGGTGGGGTGTAAACACATTAGCAGGGTCCATTGCTGCTTTTGTATTGGTTTGTCTATACCGTACTGTCCTTTTTTCACAATTGTACAGAGCTGTAGAATATGCAGGTGCTTTCTAAATGCCAATAATATTAATAATAACTTAAACTGAAAGGGCTGTGACACAGTGAGGTAAGTGTCAAATTGTTTGTAAATAGTTGGATGTCACCTGAGGACTCTTGGCAATGCAATCACTATATCCCACTTTAGTTGTTGTACTACTTAGAGTGTCTCTCTATGTACCCCTTTGGAGGTAACATGCCAAATTATATATTTTTGACTAGCGGTGCATACTCCCTAGGAAGGGGTATTTTGTTGGTTGATGATCATTGTTACTGTTTTTTTTTTTTCTATGGTGGGTGTTGGCGGGGGGTTCTACTACTTTAGAGCTGAGGTATTGGGATGATATTTAGATCATGTTTTTTTGCAATTTACATAGGATATATAGAACATCATCCAGGATTGCTTGTTTAAGTCATACTATTGTAAGACACCTGTTTTCTAGTTTGATTATTGACATCAATGGCTAAGTATCTGTATATAGCTTGAACATAGTGATCAGACGCTGCATGTTACTAATTTTCCACTTAATTTATCACACTCTGGTTCTTGAAAGTGGACAATTAAGTGTTTCCAATTAATGAAGTAGTTTTATACAATGGCCCAGCTTAGTAAATCCAATCCCTTTTTGTGTGTGTAAAGCTATTACATTACCTAACCAAAAAAAAAACCTAAAGTAGTATTTTTCTAAAACAAAACAAAAATGAAAGAGTTGAACTTTAGAAATAGAGAGTTCTGCAACGGAATTGTAAATCGGAATTATTATCGAAAGTCAACCTTTGCAAAATGTTCAGATATGCTGCTTCTAGATTAACAGCTGTGAACTTTTAAATTGTTTTCCCTTTTGTTATCCTGACATAGAAATAGCTATCTAAGGAACATAGCTGTTAAATAAGCCAGAAAAGCATTTAAAAATTGAAAGGCTTGTCTTCTTCTGCAGCACATAGTGTACTGACCTCTATGCATTGCACTGATTGATGGTAACTCAGTTATTGGGGGAAAAGTCAAGTGGAAAATGTGTCATTTAATGCAAGATTAATGAAGAACCTGCCAGAATGTTTTAATGTATAATATATATCTGAACCAGTATGTATTCAAATGAATAATATAATTTAAATTATTTTGGCATTTTACTTTGCACCTTGCTTGGCTACTTTTGTCATATAGAATGTATACACCACCAATGTATTTTACATTACTTTCTAAATCTAAATTGCTTTTTCATAATAGCTTGTGTTCTTTCCCTTATGTGTATCTTTTATTGAAGCATACCAAAGCTATTTTCCCCAATTCTAGCTGTACTTGAAACCAATAGAGTCTAACAGAGGTTTAGGTATGGAAAGGTCGCTGGCTACCCTATTCTGTGTGATGGATTCAGTGGAATGAGTATAATGAGAATTAAACCCGTGGATACTTAATCACTGCCAAAGTATTTATGGTTAATTTGTGTACTGAAGATGTCTATGAAGTATATTTTAAGTGTTTTTTAGTAAGTCTAGAGCTAGCTTCTAGTACGAATTAAAATATAAAAAAGATTTAAGCCAAGGTCTGCATATATAAATATTTACATTTGATCGATATATCTGATTAAGAATGCAATGCAGAAAAATATACAGGTGGACTGAAACCAAACTATGAGTGCTGGTCAACTATATTGGAATAGATGGGCTTGCTTGATTCCTGTTTTTTCCCCCAGGGTTTTATTTAGGATGACAGAATAGTGTTGTGGGTGTGTTATCAAGTGGATATATTTTGGAAAAACACTCTCTGGATAACATAGCAAATGTAGTGGATATAATAGGCTTCTGAAGGAATTGGTTGTGGCATAAATATCCATCTTCACCATCTTTAATAGCTTAATAGCTTAAAAGTTTCAGATAAAAACAAAAAGATACACAGTGTAAAGCTGTAACAATAGGATGGTGAAGAGGCTTTTTGAACAATAGAAAAGGCCAGCGTCTCATCAAGATAAGTAAAATGTAGGCACTGGCTGCAAGACTTAATGTAATACAGTAATGTGATTTTTTCCATATAATTTAATTTTTAAGACAACACAAACAAATATTTTTTAAATGCACACAAAAAAAATCAAATAAAAACAATGAAAGATACTCACATGTGAAACACCAGCATTTGCTGCAAACTCGTGACCTTTCCAGAAACCAGAACAAGTTATATGGAGCAGTATATTTGCAGCAAAAAGGGAAACATTACAGTTTTGGAGGGAGGCACAGATAAGGTGGATGTATAGTGTAAACCATACATATATTTTTTTTTTAATCAGAAGGATTAATACATTCCCCACCCAGATTACACAGTCCATCTAATGTATGGTTGTCCATAGTAGAGCTTTCTCCCTTTTTCTTACAAAATCATCAATTAGAGCAGTAGTTCCCAAACCAGTACTCATGCCTCCCACCAGTCCAGGATTTAAGAATTACCCAGTTGCATCTAAGGTGTTTTTTTTTTTTTTTTAAACAACACCTTCGACACAACTGGGTAATCCCTAAATCCTGGACTGGTGTGTGTGTGTGGGCTGGATTGAGAGGTGTGAGGGCCGTGAGGGGCATGCGTGAGTGTAGGATTGGGAACCACTGATTTAGAGGTTTATTCACTATATAGCAAAACTCACAGGAAATATCTTGAACCCCATTTAATCCGAAAGCTTGGGAGATGCCACAAAGTTCCTTCTTAAATGTTATTTCCTCTATTTAAATCATTAAAATGATGAGTCTTTTTTATTTGAAACAAGGAAGTGGAGACAATCTTTCAGCTCCTCTCCGCTCCTTTATCAAGCGCATTCTGCATCATTCTTGTCTCATTTCTTACGAGATCACACAAATATTACAATTATTGTTATCTTTATCGTATCTTAATGCCAGCATGGTCTATAGCCCTGTGCAACATAATATAACTTCAGAGAAATTTACTTATAAGCGACAACACACAAACTATAAGATGGACACATTGCTAAATATTGGGACAAAATCAATATTATCAGGTTATATTCTAATGGAAATTCTGTGCTCAACAGCTGTAGTTATATTCTGTAGAATTGCTCACCCCAGTAGTGATTTTGAGTATTGCCACAAGTGTTGCATGACCACGTCCTGTCTGAAGAATTTGTTGTTTTATTTTTACATATTTTTTTTTCTACTTGAAGACATTAGAAAGATGCGGACTGAGATAAGAGTGGTGTGGTGGTAACACTGAGAAATATATAAACAGCATTTATAAGGATTTGCCTCTTTGGGAAAATATATTGGTGCCATGTTTCTAATCTAACTTTGGAGAATCATACTATTAGATACCATTCGTATTTCTTACTCATAACATTTACTAAACAAAGTAATTAAAAACAATATCCTTGATTTTTTTATAAACAAATTTGTGATGCATGCATAGTAAATTAACAAGTGACCATATATGTATGGATGTGTGACGACAATACAAATAATTACATACAATATATACAAAAGGTTTAACCCCTTAAGGACACATGACATGTGTGACATGTCATGATTCCCTTTTATTTCAGAAGTTTGGTCCTTAAGGGGTTAAACTGTGTTTCCAACTATATTTTCCAAGCCGTCTGTCCCCT